GCAGGGTTCATACACCTTTTTCAGAGTCAAACTCAAGCATTTTTAAGCACTTTAAGGTCCATTTCAAGCTTTTCCAGCACATTACCAAAAAAAGTATGCATGTTTCACTTCACATCACCTCAGTAAGACCATGTGAAAATTAAAACAAATCATATGAGGTTGACTGAAACACTTTTGTTCCCCTTTTGCTAAAACATAGAAAAACACACCACACAAAATACTGCAAAACAAAAAGGCTGCCTTATATGTAGATAGTGTCGAAACTCAAAACGCACATCTCACTTAAAATTTAAGACGTGTAAATGTGAACAAATGCACTTGTTAGAGATATTAATCTCCTGTTGAAAAAAACAACCCCACAAAACAAGACAACTGCACCAAAAACCACAAAATACTACACACCGCAGGGAAATTAATATCTCATCAGATATTGATGCTTCTTTCATATGTGACACAAAAAACAGGAGACATATGTTTGTTTGTTTTTTAAAGCTCATTCATTCAAAATTAACTGTAAGATGTTTAACTACATTGCTGCTGTGTTATTGTTGAAGTCCTAAATTATCACCTTTAAAGTGTTTGTGCTAATAACATCATGTACAGTAAGACAGGCATGGAGAACAGCACTGACTGGGAGAGGCTTTGAACAGATGACATACTCAGTTCAATTCAACATATAAGACTTTAAGAATGCACAAGCATCTATCAAAAACCTATTTATTTAATCTATCATTTGTGAGGTTATTATGTACAATTATAATGTAATGTTCAGCTGCCTTAAATAAACAGGCAGCCTTAAAGTATGAAATATTCATTTGTCTACTGTCTCAGTGGCTGATAGTGCCCCACAGGCCTCAATGTGAGCTTGTAGCCATTATAATGTTGAAGTTGTTTAACGATTAACAGATTTTGAATGAAAGCAAGGGAACTTCGGTAGCACAAAAAAAGTGTCTATTCTTTGTGCACATATGGATCAGTCATATTACCATTGTTTCCTACTAAGGTGTTGCCAAAGGCACCTAGTTAACGCTTGAAAAAGCTGCAGCAATACACAAAAATATAATCAATATTCTATTTACTCGGTGACAACGCCGCTTTTAGCCTTCAATCAGAAAGCTTTAATTTGGCTAGTTAAGCATCGGGCTAACGCTTAAAGCTTTCACTTAAGGAAAGTCACTCACATTACTGCTACTGCTACGTAATCTTAGTTAGGTTCACAGCATATTCCATAAATTACCGTGCCATAACTAACTGTTATAACAGCGCTGCCATATTGCATCATACTGGGTGCATTTCAGTCATTTATACACATAGCTAGTTTCCTAGCTATGTGTAACGTACACACTCTCGAAATAAAATACACGAATAGAACTTAAATTTAATGTATATAATCTTCACCAAAGTGCAGATGTCTGAAACAAAATGAGACAATAGCCTTTAATATGTACATTCCCAAATTTCATACATTTTGGGGGAAAAAATTAAGAGTCTTTTTTTTTGTTAAGTTTCCTGGCACTATATGTTTGTGTAAATTAGGTTAAAACTCATTTATTCACTTTCATTACAGCACATAATACTGAAAAGAACACTTGTGTGTATTTTAAGATGTTTTCTCTTTGCTCTGAAAAAAATGTTATGTAGATTTTTATTTATTGATTGATTTACTTTAAGACTCTTTGAGAACACTGATACAGCAGCTAATTTTGAGACATATATGGGTAAATGCTCTTAAATGTACTGTTTTTGGATGTTATAAGCATCTATGACTATTAAATATAAAACCATCACTCTCAAGCTTTTGCTTCCTGACACATCACTTGATGCTTTGTAATCTGTATAAACGACACGGTGTCTGGCTTTTTCAATTCCAGCCCGGGTGATTACTGTAGCACAAAATACCAAATCTCCATAAACAGATGGCACATCTGTAATACATTAGCTTTACCTGACATGTTGCGTCTCAGTCTCACCTTTTCCGTGTCGATGCCTTTGGTCATGGACCAGGTGGAGACGATGTAGTCCATCACCCTCTCACTTAGACCCTTGGGAACTTGGTAGAGTTTCAGGAAATCCCTGACATTGTTGAGCATCTCATGGTAGCGATTGGTGTTGGCATACATCTGCTGGAAAATCGTGGTCACATTTCCAAAGATGGTGGCATAGAGCAGAGCTAGAAAGCAAGTAGGAGAAGAAATATGAAATGTATAAAGCGCTCATTTCAAAAACATTTGATGAAAACAATTATTTTGACTTGAACTAAATATCTGCTTACTGCAACACACCGAGCCAAAAATCTAATGTTTTAAAAAGAAATGGAGCATGCTTTGTTTTAATTTCTAACCATAAATGTACACCTTGCAAGAAGCCAATAGTGAAAAGCACTACATAAATACTAATTTGGTTTATGTGCCCAATGAGTTACACCAATCCACCACAACATTTAAAGCAACTGGTCCTTCTAGATAAAAGAGTCTTGGCTTGGCAGACCTTCCAAACAAATCGTACTTGTACAGTCATGAACATTAGCACGTATTACACTAACTGAAGCATGGAGTTTGAGATGAAGATCCTGAGTCTTTTGCAATTTCTCTGAGCATGGCACAGTCTGACCTTCAGTGAATTTGCTGGAAAGATTGAGGCATTGGGTTTATACCATCCCATCCATCCATTCGCTTCCACTTATCCTTTTCAGGGTCGCGGGGGGCGCTGGAGCCTATCCCAGCTGTCATAGGGCGAAAGGCGGGGTACACCCTGGACAGGTCGCCAGTCTGTCGCAGGGCTAACACACAGGGACAGACAACCATTCACACTCACATCACCTAGTGACAATTTGAGATTATCCAATTAACCTATCCCCACAAGCTGCATGTCTTTGGACGGTGGGAGGAAGCCGGAGTACCCGGAGAGAACCCACGCAAACACGGGGAGAACATGCAAACTCCACACAGAAAGACCCCGGCCTGATGGTGGAATTGAACTCAGGACCTTCTTGACTGTGCGGCAACAGTGCTAACCACCGTGCCACCGTGCTGCACCGTTTATACCAATACTCCTGAATACTCCAGACTAGCAAAGCACCAAACCTCTGCTTTTATAGAGGTGATCCCAATAGCTGATGATCATTTAATTGGGTGCATTTGATTAGCAGAACATGGCTTCTACTTACCCTCTGACTTTCTATGGAAGAAGAGAGGGTATATTTAGTTTGTTACACTGCATAGAGTCCCAGGAAAACTTTCTTTTTCACATGACTGTAGGTACAGCTTTTGGTAACAAGACCGTTCTGCCAAGGGTCCGATGCGATGGACAAATGGAAAAACTTCAACAGGAAAAGTCCTGTTGTCTAAGATGAAAAAGGCAAAGATGACTTAGAGTGGCTGAAAACCAAAGAGGTTTGTGTTTGGCTTTGGTTTGTGTTAGGTATTATACTGAATAACAGCTTAAGAATTTAGATGTCTAGACAGTGTTTAGTTAGAAATCGCGACAGTGTAGAAGCTTCAAGGTGAAGGGACACCAAGTCCTATGATAAGGTCGGTCATCCAGACCCTGTGAGATAAAAACAGTATCCAGTCTCAGCCAGAATTACTCTCACGGTCATTAGAAGAACAAGTTATCAGATGTGAGGAAGGGGAACCTTCCGCCTTCTAGGTGCAGGTCGCCAGGGCAGAGAGACAGAGCGCTGAGAAGCTGGGACTAGCCAAAGCGCCAAAGAAGGGAGAGTTAAATTTAAACTCTAACTTCTCCCCATCTGTTTTAAGCAATCTGATACGTGCACATTTTCCATATAAAACTCTGTGTAATGCTAAGATAGGTACTCTCATGGCTGCAGTTACTGTTTAGATGAACGATGTAGATAAACGAACGCGTTCATAGTGTCAGCACTTAAGCACAGGAAAAAGTTCTTGGGTGGGTAGATGAAAGGAGGCGTGTTGTATAAAGCACGTTGAATGCCATGGTAGAGCAGAAAACTGCTACATAAGAACCAGTCCAGTTACCAAATATCTTCAGATGAGTATACACTTGTAGGAGAGAGCTGCATGACTTGAAAGACTTCAAAAACAACATTAACTTGGCATTATTTGAAGCAGATGGGTAATCACCAAAAACTGACTTTTTATTAGCCAAATACAAACAGATGTTTGTGACAGTGGCTTAGAGGGGTGCAGGTTTGAGTAATCATCTAAAGCCACTTACAAAAGTCAGACAAACTTAGAGATCAGTGTTAAATGTATATTATATAATGTCTCCTGGTGATCAAGAGTGTTTCTCACCTTTGAAATTTAAAGCCATCATGCGTCACTGCTCAGCCTCCTCACTATCCTGCTTGTACTTTACTGTTTCCATAGAGACCTCACTCAAAATAGTTTTTTGCCTCCTCCCAGACAATACAAGTGACAAAGGAAAGAAAAAAGAAACAATAATTTGGAAGACTTCTGAAAAATCTTGTGGTTTGCAGGAGGTGGAGGGAATCTGACGACATGATGTGTGAGAATGCAAGGCTGGGGCAGAATGAATGTACAGTACAAAGGGGTAGTTTGTAAAGAAGGATCAAAGAGGCAAATGTTGGCTTTTCTTGCAGTAACTGTGCATTCAAGATAAACTCTCTATATGGATGCTGTATGAGGTAGTGTAAAAATAGTAAATTAAAAAAACAAAGAAAGTGAACCAGAAACATGACAAAAACAAAGTGTGGATGTGTGCATTTCTTTTCCTCGGACAGTTTATCTCACAGAAGCAAGTCTACAGAGACACAAAAAGAAAAGAGTGTGTCTGAAAGAGAGACAAAACAAAGAATAAAAGCAGGACAGTCACACACATAAAGGTGTTGCGTGTCAGTGGTGAGATAAGTCCTTCAAAGTCTGCTGCCTCCCAGCCTACAAAACCTTTCCAGGACCCCGTCAGCAATTCAGGAAGAATTCCAACAGCACATCTGGCCTGGAACTTAAGGTTCAGACTCACAGCTCTCCGCCCCCCAAACCCAAGATTTCTAATTGGCTGACTTGATAGCCCATAGGGAGGTAAGTGTCACCTCAGAACACAGAAAGGCAATGGTTTGAAGGTTAATTCAACCTTGGGATATCAATTTCTAGCCAATTTTATTTTATCTAAAGTAGTGACATGTGGATGTGTGGATGGGTATGAAGAGAAGCTGCAGAAGAAATCTGTGCCACCACAGTAAGTAACCACAGTACAAAAACTATTTGGGATGAAAAGCTAATTAGTAGCATTCATCAGGTGTAAATGAGGTCTGGCTATCAGCACTTTGGAATACTGGTTGTCAAGGAAGCTCGAGACAAATAACAGGGCTCAAATTAAAACAGACTGCCAAAGAATTGAGCCTCCAAAGGTACAAAAGCAAGATATTCAGGAGTCTTTAAGATAAGCACTTGAACTTATAGTGTTAACAAAACAGTTTAAATATGTTGAGTTTACAATTTCGGTACTTTCTCCTTTGCATTTCTATAACAGTCAAAGTCTGTGTTGACTTAAGCACATTTCCATAGCTTATACAACCTGCCATGGCTTGAGTTTGGCCTGTGGAAATCAACCTTTTGAAGCTCACCACAATTGAGTCAGTCAAAGAAAGTCAAGAACTGGAATCATGCTGTTAAATAATATTTGCACCATATTTATAAACTAGTGTATAAAAATCTTGACACAAAGTTTTAAGAGTTCTGTCGATGAATCATTTCCCTGAAAACTTGGCTGACTCCATCTATTTTGCCAAAATTTCCTTGCAGCAACTCAAAATAGCACTCATTAGTTTGCATACATGAGAACTCCAAATGAGATGATAAATGGTAAACTGAAGGATCTCCACCAGATCTGAACCAGAGCATCACAGGGCTCGTGGACAGTCTGAGATACAACCTGGTGATGTTGAACGGAGCAAAACATATCCCAGAGGTGTTCCAGGACAGGATGAAATCCTTGGACCCAAGGTTTCATCCATATAACTAACGGCAGTCAGGGTCCTATTGCACAGCCTGTTGAAGTCTGTGTTTCCCTCCATGGCTACGTCCCACCAGACCATCAATGACCCACCACCAAACCGCAGCATAGCATTCTCCACGGCTTCTCCAGACCATTTCCCATCTGTCACATGTGCTCAGGGTGAACGTACTCTCATCCGTGAAGAGCACAGATGGTGGACAAGGAGTGGACCTGCCATTTCTGGTATTCCACAGCAAATGCCAATCGGGCTCCACAGTGCTGGACCGTGCATGGTTCCACTAGAGGATGTCAGGCCACCCTCATGAAGTCTGTTTCAGTTGTTCTGAGACATTCCTACAGTAGCCTGCTGAAGCTCATTTTTAGGGCAGTGGCAATGCTCATTCTGTTCCACAAAGGAGCAGGTACCATCCCTGCAGGTGAGTTAAGGGCCTCCTGCAGCAGATGGCCGCCCTGCCTGAGCCTGAGCCTGGTTTTGTTGAAGGTTTCTTCCTGTTAAAAGGGAGTTTTTCCTTCCCACTGTCACCAAAGTGCTTGCTCATAGGGGGTCATACGATTGTTGGGTTTTTGTCTGTATTTGTCATCGTAGGGTCTACCTTACAATATAAAACACCCTGAGGCAACTGTTGTTGTGATTTGGCGCTATATAAATATTTGAACTGAATTAATTCCTGGAATCTCCACACTCCACACTCTTGGAACTGTGCTGGGAGACGCAACAAGCCTTTTGGAAAGGGCACGCATTGATGTGCCAACCTGGAGAATTGGAGTATCTATGCAACCATTGTAGAGTCTAGGTATCTCCTAATGCTACCAGTAGTGACAATGACCCTAGCCAAATGTAACCTAGTGAAAAACCAGGAGCGTAAAAATGTCAGTGGCCTCCACCTGTAAAACCATTCCTGTTTTGGGGTTTGTTTCATTGTTGCTCCTCTAGTGCACTTATTGTTTATTTCATTAACAGAAAGTAGCTGATACTGATTAACAACCCCTTCCTCTACTTATCTGATTAAAGTGTACCTGCAGTTTTTTTGCACAGTATATGTATTTTGGAGAAAATATATTCACACAGAAGTATCTGATCTCAGTAGGAGAGTAAATAAATAAATACAGAAGTAACCAACAAAGCCCTAGAATCACAGAAACCTGTTACTGATGGATTGCTGATTATACATCGTTCTGTATCAGCTTCCAGAAACACTTTTCTGGTCTCACGTG